TAAACTTTTTCTTTTAACTATTTATTTATTTTTCACCGCCTTTTTCAGTTACTTATTTTTTTTATTGATTTTGCTTTCTTGATTTTAATTTATTTTATTTTATATTTATTTCATTTTCTTTTATTTTATTCTGTGACTATGATTCTTTTTTATATATTTATTTGTTCTTTTATAATGGACATTGATCAGATGATTGATGAATACTGCGTTTCGCAAACAACTTTACAAGATTGACGAACATGATATATTTAACTTATACTTTATTTCGACAAAGTTCTTTTGAATTGACATAATATTTGTTTCTCATATTCCTGTATGTTAATCTTTTTATCACGATTATAACGCAAGATTATTGTATTTTATATTTGTATTATTTATATTGTTTTAATAATATAGAACTGAAGATAACCTAATATTAAGATCAAAATATTTGGTTCAAAATTCTACGATTAAAGTTTTATTTCAAGCAAATCCTGCATTTTATCTAGTAAAGCTCCTTTTTTCTAGTAAAATAAATCTATTATTAATGTAATTATTATATATGTAAATTTATATTCCGCGGATATAAAAAAATAATCATTTTTATAGGAAATATTAATATTATTTACACAATATTTATATTAAAAGAAATGTATTTAATTTTAAACATAATATTATAAAATGTAAAGAAAAAAAAGTTTTATATGAATCGATGCCTCTTTTGAATTTCTAGAAGAACTTTTAGTATAGTCGAACATTTAAAGGAACATTCTTTGTATTCATCTATAATCTATACATTACTTTAACTTGTCATAGGTCATTTAAAATATATTTTTAAATGACCTATGGTGCAAGTTATAACTTTTGCTTTATAACAATCAAATTTTCATTGTACATCTTGAGAAAGTATCGATTTATCTTTCTTTTAACAATATAATATTGACACTGATAATGATATTTTCTGTTTTCTCTATTCTATTAAAAAGCTTCAAGAATAAATATCTGAAAGGAATAAATGTATCTCGTTCACAAAGAAAAAACTTTTAAATAATTTTTTTATTTAAGGGGAGAATACAAAAGTACGTGATAGAAGAAGAGGACAGCAGATATATTTTAAAGAATTTTAACGATTTTGAAGAGACTTTAAACTATTTTCAGTTTAGTGGAAATGTTTAGGATTAAAGCACACGTTGAAAATGCCTTTCAAAAGCGTGTGAAAGAGAAAAAAGAAAACTTGAAGAAACTTGAAAGCGAAAGAGATTTTCTGAAAACAATAGGTAGGTTTTATTTACAACGTGGACCAGGAGAAATGCCTGGAGAAGATAGTCTTTCAAGCAAAAAATTTTAAATTGAATTTTATAAAATCAAGATAAAGATAACCCGAGGAAGACTTTAGACTCATTGACATTTTTTTCAAACTATTATTTGGTCCCAAATTTTGGAAGTTATTTCTCGAGATTGTTTTGCTTGGGATTCCCATCGCATGTGTGGCGGGTACATGTATGTATATAGATGCGAACGATATATTATACACGCGTTATGCATATATGTAGAGAGAGAAAGAGAAAAGTTGCACGGTCGCATCATTTACAGTCTTGTTTTTGTTTTCGTGCACAAACTGTCGGCGTTATCGCTTCGATAAACCGAGTTTCAGGAAACGCGTAAGGTGTTCTGATGTTTTCGGTATGGTCCGTAGTGCACGAGGACACGCTGAAGGGAAAGAGAAGAGAGAGAGAGAGAGAGAGAGAGAGAGAGAGCCACTCATGTATACATATACATATATATATATATACGAT